TGATTCAAACAAGCCCTTATTGAATTGGTTCTCATATTGGAAAAGGTTAAAAAAGCTTAAAGGTGCGAAATGTAATATGTTAAAGAAAAGCAAGAAGCTAGCTACACAACTGAAGTGTCTCTCAGAAAATCTGCCAGTCCTCAAAATATTGGCAATATGAAGACCAGATATTTATACAAATAGTAAATGTTTAGCATGCAATGTTGGTATAGTAGAGACTCAAGATCACCTAGCTGAATGCGACACTATATGTTAATATGGCAAAGTATTGAGACTACAACTCTTAATCTGGTATGGTCCAAACTTACAATCAAAGAAAAGAGAAGATGTCTGAAAAATCTCTTGTCCAAGATTCTAATTAGAGAGTCAAATATAGTTAGACAGGAAAATAGAAAACTATGAATTAGAGGCCTATCTATGATGGACTTATTTAATAGAATTCAGAATCTTCGAATTTTATCAAAAATGACATCCTATATTACAAAACTTGCCACACATATAATTTGGAATAGCTTCTACGACTTCATATAAAAAGACAGATATAATAAGATCATTGATTGGGAAAAAAAGCATAATATAAAGAAGCCAGACAAAAGATTGAAGAAAACCAAAGAAGTTCAGCCAAAGAAAAGTACTTCAACTATTCGAAAAGAAAAATCCAAAAGAGAAGGATTTGAAATATTTGTAAAAGATAAGGAGAAGTATAACGTTTGGTATGATATAGTAGGGAACTGGATACAAAAGGGTGTAAACCCCTTTTGGACAAGCTTGTAAAAGAGTCTATTTCTAGCTTATCTATAAGCCAGTGCGATAGGTTGTACTCAAGTAATCTTTAGATAACCAGGCGGAGTTTGGCTTTTATTTAGTCTTAGAAATTATGTATATAGTTTATATATACTACAAACTAAGAACTCGAGTCACAACAAGACCTGTCAAAGAATAAAATAAAAAAAAAAAAAAAAGAATAACTACAAATTAGGTATAATATTATCAACTCTTTTTGACAATTAGTTACACCAAAATTTCCTACTAAAAGAAAAACAATTTTGTTAGAGAGTTGTGGCCTAATGTAGTGGTTTGTCTAAAGGTCAACACTTTTTGTTCTCTATAAGAGATATTTGATATGCAAGCCAAAAGTGTTATTGTATAAAATAACTGGCAAGAGGTAGCACTCTTGTATAAAAAATCTTGGTAGAGAGATGAATACCAAAAGAGCCTCTAGTCTTCTCTGTTAACAAAGCTCTTAAGTCATTACTTCAAAGAAGAACACAGAAAAAACAACAAATATTAGTTTTTTCAAGCCATACTTCTTTTACTTGATTAAGTAGTTTCTCTTTTACTTTTTTTTGCTTTCCTGCTAGTCTTCCAAAAATTTTTAACAAAAAGTGGAGATTTGGCTTACCCCCTCCAAAAGATTAGCATTGTTTATATCCCAATTTGGAACAGCAACAACTACATGTTCAACGGATATGGTGCTACTATTTAGAATTAGATCCCAAATAACAAACTTCTAGTAATAATAGCAGGTGGCTTGAGATACAGGTCTACAGATGGCAGCAGCATCTGGCTTGAGATATGGATTAGGATGAGCTAAACAAAACTATCCAGAGTTAGTCAAAAAGAAAATCGAACAATAAGGTATAGCTTTATAGAAAAGATATACAACTATTGTAGTTGTTATATAATTTTTTAGTAGCTTTGCACAGGTTATAATAGTGCTTTTAGAATTTTAAATTTCTTTTTATACTTTTTCTTTTTTGCAATCAGTATTTTTTTTTTTTTTTTGTTTTTTCTTTTTTATTTTCTGGTTGTTTTTGTAAACTCTTTATTAAAATTTTCTCTTTTGTCTCATGCTCTTTGAGAAAAAGAAAGAATTAAAAAAGAAAAAGAAATCTGACGTGGTATATAACAACCTGTTATTAATCTTGAGGGGTATCTATTGTACTATACAAAATTCAAAGCAAGTTTTAAATCCTAGGAGAAACTAATAGTTGTTATAGCAGGTTGCATTGGGCTTTATGCTTAGTAAGTTTTTATTAGATTAGAACAACAATATGGAAGATGATATATGAGTGTCTGTTTGTATATAAATTTTTCATAGTTTACATAAATAAAGGCAGAATTACTTAAAAAAAAAAAAAACTACAAATTAAAGGTTTAAAAGATTCAATCTTCTAAATCAATAAATTAAAAGCTTCAAAAGCTAAAAAGAAGAGTCTATAAATTTTTTTTGATATTAAAATAATCTCTTTGGCTATAAGAACTATTTTATTAAAAGTTTAATTTCAGTTATAGTAAGAATATAGTATATATTTATATATAAAGAGGAATAAGTTTTAGTTTGCTTATTATTCATATAAATTTTTTAAAAAATATTTATTTTTGATTACATATAGACTAATTTATAAAATTGCTAATAACTTTTGATCTACTACTTTATTTTAATAATTTTACTACCAAAATATTTGTCTTGATGAGATAATTCTAATAAACCCAAAATTATTAAAATCCAATTACAAAATTCCAAGATAATTAAAATTTTGTATAAATTTACTATTAGTTATTATATAAATACACAATATTAAATAACTTTTAATATATTGGCCTGTTTGGGATAATTTAACAACCAAAATATTTGTCTTAATGAGACAATTCTAACAAGCTCAAAATTATCAAAATCTGATTACAGGATCTCAATATCATTAAAAATCAGTATTATGTAGACAATTATTAGTTTTCATCTATGAAAACCAATTCTTAGTTAATTGTCTACATAATACTGATCTTTAGTGATCTTAAGATTCTGTAATCGAATTTTAATGATTTTGGGCTTGTTAGAATCATCTTATTGAGACAAACATTTTGGTTGTTAAATTATCCAAAACAGGCCAATATATTAAAAATTATTTAATATTAAGTATATTTATATAATAACTAATAGTAAATTTATACAAAATTTTAATTATCTTGGGATTCTGTGATTGGATTTTAATAATTTTGGATTTATTAGAATCGTCTCATCAAGACAAATATTTTGGCAGTAAATTTATTTGAAATAGAGTAGTAGATCAAAAGTTATTAGCAATTCTATAAATTAGCCCATATAATTTTTATATTGATCTTTATTATTTTTAGTAATTTGTTAAAATTTTTAGAAAACCTTATTTATAGATTTTTTAGCGTCCTTATATAGCTATACATTTTTTCAAAAATTTTATAAACAAGAAAAAATTTATCTTTTTAATGATGATGTCGATAGCTAGTGTAAAGCTTTTTTTCATTAGAGATAAATATTTTTATCAGAAATGAATATCAGAAACAGGTTTGATATTAAAAATTTTTAAGTTATACATATTACAAAATTAAATGATATACATACCGTATTTTCGTGAAATAATGGGCATGGGCATTAATTAGAAAATCGTGCCCCCTAAAATAATATGCGATGTCTCAAAATAATGCCCATGCACGTCCCTAAATAACGCATGAAATCCGAATTTTATCAAAAAAAATTTTTTTTATAGAATATTATTAACAAAACTTTATTTGGAAAATCAGGTTTATCAAAAAAATCAACTCTAATTAACGCGCATATACTCAAAATAACGTGCAGGTGGGCGTTGTTTCGCGAAAATACAGTACATCAAAATCTTGCATCTTATTAGATTATACATGTAGTAAAACATGAATCCGGATATCTGACATAAATGCTTAATGGATTGGAACTATATTATAAACTGGTCTTCACTATAACGAGAGTGACTTGTATAACTGGTTAAAATCACATGCAAGGTCTGGATCTGTACGACAGTGAACCGCGATTTTGCGTGGCTTGCGTGAGATGACGTGCGAGGTAAAATATTAGATTAAGAAATTTTTAGCATGTCACTTGATTCGCGCAAACTTGCGCCGCACGCGATATATAGAATGTATGCTAGGTATATTTCTAGGTGAAACCTAGGTTGCGAGCCAGTGAAATCCGCTATGACCATTACATGAGAGTGAAATCCGTTTTTATATAATAAAAAAAATAATCAAACGAGATTTTACTAGCTTATAATTATCAAAATTCGGTAATTTTACAACGGATATCCGGATTTCAGAATTTGGAATGGATAACGGATTAGCGAAAAGGCTACCCGAATATACCAAATGAATATAACAAATAGATAAGCAGATGAACTATTCGGATTATCCGAATCCAAGCTCCAGTAACTATGAGAATGGAATAATTAAATTGGCATTTTTACATAAAAAGTATTTTACACTTTATAAATAATGGATATCTTATGCTGCCCCGTATATATAAAAAAGTTATGTCAATGGGTTATTTTAATAAATAATTTTATTTCTTTTCTGATGTTTTGAAATAGTTCTTGGGTGGTTGACTGGTAGAAGCTTCCTCGGAAGTCTTGGTAAAATGGCATGTAATTAATTAACATAATTTTTAAATTACATAAGAAAATAAATTTAAAAAAAAAATAGGGTACTAACCACATATGCTGCGGTAAGACCTCCGTCAATCTTTATTTCAGTTCCTGTAACATAAGATGATTCATCTGATGCCAAGAATAAGGCCACTTGAGCAGATTCAATTGGTTCACCTATTTTAATTTTCAAGTAACAAATTTATAAGGAAACAATTTCGAAAATAAAATTCAATAATAGGATAATGAGAATTACCGAATCGTCCAATTGGTATATGACAAAGACGTCGGTTCTTCTTGTCATCAGTGTTAAGTAAATTCATCAACTCTGGAGTACGTAATGGGCCAGGACATATTGTATTGACACGAATGTTTTCACGAGCATGAGTAACAGCCAATTCACGGCTATCAGTTGAGAATCGAGTAATTAATGACAATGTAAAAATTTATAAAAAGTAGAATGATACTAAAAATATTAAAGTGAAGATATACCTCAAAGCAATAACGGCACCCTTTGAAGCAGTATCTACAATAGAACGAAGAAATATCGTATTATCAAGAATTAATTGAAAAGCTATAGAATTTTATCGATACTTACAAGATATTTGAGGAGTTGCAGATCCTAAGAAACCAACATAGCTCGCCATATTAATAATGCTTCCTTTACAACCTGAATTTCTTCGCATTGCTTCAATAGCATATTTACAACCATACCAAACACCTTTAACATTCGTATTCATGGTAACATCCCTTTAAAGTAGCATTTACAGTGTTGACTATGAGGAAATATACTAACTAATTGGAGATTAATTAAAAATAAATGTATATTACCAGACTTTCTCATCAGTGTTTAGACAATTGTCATCATGAGGATGAATTACTTCTGCACAATTGAACAATATATCAAGTTTTCCTAAGAAAAAAAAAAAAGTACTATGTTAATCTGCACAGTATATACTAATTTTTTTTATAATATTAATTAATAAAATGGTAAAACATACCAAATTCTTTCAAAGTAGCCTCGACCAATTTCTTTACTTCTTCTTCTTTGGTAACATCCACTTTATAAGCAAGTGCACGTTTTCGAACATGCATTGGGAATTTTTCCTTTATCCTTTCTACACAAGCTTCAGCGACCTTGAGATCATTATCAGCGATAACAACAAAGGCACCTTCTCTTGCAAATAGAATAGCGGACTCATATCCGATACCACTGGATTCAAGTGATTGAAAATCTTTAATAAATTATGAATAAATATTTGAATATAACAAATTTATTTACCTCCCACCACCAGTAATTATAGCAACTTTTCCGTCAAGACGTCCTTTAATATCTTTAATAACAGAACTAATCGACATTTTTACTATTCTATAGAACTAAAACAAAATTTAAGAATTTTAATGTCTAAATGTTTCGATAGTCAAAGGGGTGAACTAAACTTTATCTACCTTTTACCGTTACCATATATATTTGTAATAAGCATAATATCGAAGGCTAAAAAAAGCTAACTTAATTGATTGAGAATTTGTTTACATAATGTATTTGACTAAAATAACTAACAAATTATAATTGATATTAAATTCAAAATGAGAATGATCTTTTCAATAACGGGTAATTGATTCAGGGATCATTTAGACTCTGCATCTATCGACATAAAAAATATGTTAATAATGGGCAATATTCTTTGGGGATGATATTCTTAAAATTACCTTTATTAACAATATTCTATGGGCTGTGATAATTTATTTACAATTCAGGTTTCCCTATTCCATAAAAGTATAAATTTTTTCAATGGGACATTACAATTTTGATTTTTGGGCTGATGTTTGTATCGTTGTCTCGCATAACTTATCTGCAATGTGAACATCCAGAGTTTCCCACAGATTTAAGTATAAAAGACATTTAAATTTTGACGACAGACATTCGGGCTTTCAATCCGTCCCCATACTTTACAATTTTCGCAAGATCCTTGATAGTGCTGGTTCACCCAGCGCTGGGATTTGTTCTTGTAAAAAAACAAAAAAAAAAAAATAATGATAAGAATATTTTAATCCACTTATTTTTTTCACTTATTTTTTTTTTTTTAATTTCTGTGTTGTAAGTTAAGAATACCATGTCATGTGTATGTATGTATTACCAACAATTTTCTTAATCAAAGAATTAATGATTGTTCGTAATGACTTGATTGTAACACATTTTACTAATATCTTCATTCTTAGATGGTGCTTAATCGGCTTGCTTTTTGGAACGTAAACCTGTCATTCATGACACAGTGAAGTGTAAATTCTTTCACAATTTTTTCAATCATGCACTTTCCTATAAATAAATTTATATATAATGTATTCCATATGAATAATTTTTACGCAGTATCATCTGTCATGCGACTTTGATTACGGAAAGTGGGCTATCATAAAAGAGAGTCATAAGTCTGACCCTCATTAACTCTCCTGATTTATTTCGGGGCAAGCCTCCACCATGAAACCTGTCGTTCTTGGAGATACGTATTTATGTCGTCTATCTCATAACAAGATGCGGACCCAAACCGTAAAACTCGTGACTTATTAAACCTTGTGCAGGGAACTGCCCGTTACACTCGTGGCTTCAACCATGTTGGCCATTAAGCTTGATTTCAACGTATTGGCCGCAACCAGAGGTAACATGTCATAGGCTAACACTATTTCAATCCGCATTCGACTTTGGTTGGTGGAGGGTGACGTTTGGTCAACGCTAAAGGCGTTTGATGAAACGTCAAATTAACTTGCAACAAATAGAATATTTTATGGTATGAGAAAATTGTATATATCTTTATATAGTCATTTTTTATAGCCACCTTTTATTCTATGCAACTCTTTATGTAATGTTCAATAAACTAAAATTTATACGAATATGATTTCAAAACTATCTCTTTCAAATTTTTTCGATGCAAAAGTTATTATCAGTGCCAAAAAGAGATAGTTTGAGAAGAAAAAGTTTATTGACCAGAATGATAAACTCTTGCACTAATTAAACTTTTCCTTTGACGTAATAATCTTCATTAACAAATAAGTTACGTGTTCCATATCTTAGTTATCTTAATGATAAGTGCGTCCGAACAGTTAAAATATTTTCATATTTTCACTAATTAAAATTTGAACATTTCGACGTATTGATTAAGAACGCTTTTCTCAAAATTGATCTAGTTGACTAAAAAAATTAAGTACTGTAGTCATTTAACGGTATATATGATAATACAAGTTAGAACGCAAAAATCAAGATAGTATTTACAAAAAAAGATCATTTACCCATAACCTACTTTACCTTAACTCGAAATTTCCATAATCTACTTTACCTTAACTCGAAATTTCCATAATCTACTTACCTTAATACGAAAAAAGAACAATTTTAATTACCCTAACTTTTAAGAGAATACTTAGTGATTAAATCTACATGCTTTGTTAACCGTATGTACTTTCAGAAATCACCAGGCAAAAAACGGACACGTAACTAAAATAAGGTAACTTGTATAATTGTAAATTTTGCACATCGTTTAATGTATACTATATTAAAATAACTGTTATATATTGCACAAAGTTGTTATTTATTACACCAAAATTATTGTCTTTACTTGTATATCATCGTTCATGTCAACGTTCTTGATGATCAATTTATTATTACCGTAGTCATTATTTCGAGCTGTTCTTTTTTGCGTGTATACTCGAATAAACCATTAAGAATAATTAAAACTTCCATAAGCTATCTATTATTTGTAAAGTTTCGTTTATTTCTAAAATTTTATTTTCTTGATTTTATACTTTCTTTTTCGTCGTTCAGTACATTTCAACTTCTTTGCATTAATGATTTGAATTCGTTATGAGGTTTAGAGGCTTTACAGCCAAAGCAATAAGAATGTGTAAAAAGATAATTCCCTTCTAATCGAATACGAGTATACAAGAATTATTTTAATTTAATAACAATAACGAGAATACCATTGCATACACTAATACATACCTCAGATCTGAGATAGTATTAACGTCCAAAGTTTTTTTGGACATCCAAGTTCTGAATATCCAAATATTAAATAAATATAAATATCGATATCACATTTTTAATCATGTCCTTGGAAGATTTGCCCTGACGATGCTGAGGAAAATCTGCATCAGCCAATCGGCTAAGCCGCCTTAGTTGCGGCTCTTTAGCCGGCTAAGCCGGTGTTACTGTCAGCGGGAGAGTGAAAAAATATTTATAGTGCCGGTCTAAATCAGGACAGTAATCGATATAAGTTCGGAATTATAAATATATCCAACCGAAAACGGCTAATCAAATCGAGGCCTTGTGTAACTACGTTAGTCGAAATGGTGGCGTTTAGATTTGGGCGAGGGTGATTCTAGACGTAGGTATATCTTCTTGTGACTTGTATTGAACCTGGTTTCAATATTGCTAACAAAACCACGGCTTGAGTTCTTCCACTTGAGCTCGAAACCGGAACCAACAAACCACAGATTCCACAGTCTGTTGGGGAAACTGGAAAACAACTACAACTGTCCACAGTACGTTGGGAAAGTTGGAAACAGCCACGGTAGTCCTCAGTCCATCGAGAATCAACCGGAAACAATTTTCGTTGAAATCACATGGGAAAGTCAATTAACAAACAAAGATCTTTTACTATGCCACTTAGTAACCGATCAGGGTAAAAGGTAATTAGTTAGAGCGGGTTTATTTAGGTACTTAGGTTTATATGGGTCAAATGGGTCAATTGGGTAATTTTTATTAGGGAACGATAGTTGCAAGCAAATGGAACTTATTGTTCTTAGGGCCTTCATGGTCTTTATTTATAATAAATCTTCAGTATTACAATCAGTGTAATAAATTCCATAAATGTAATAAATGTAATAAATATAATAAATTCCATAAATTTCATAAATGTAATATAATAAATGTAATAAATGTAATAAGGATAAATCTATTTGTAATAGCCTGTTACACGCTTATTTGTAACAGTTTGATTTATAACTCAAAATTTTACTAAGATATAATCTCTTTGTACTACTAATGAAAAATGATCCTCCCGAAATTTTATATTAATCTTAACACTAACCTTAACACTAACCCTAATACTAACTCTACTAACCCTAACACTAACCCTAACACTAATAGGCTGTTACAAATAAGCAGTGTAATAGCTGTTACAAATAGATTTTTTCATGTAATAAATGTAATAAATGTAATAAATGTTATAAATGTAATAAATGTAATAAATATAATAAATGTAATAAATATAATAAATATAATAAATATAATAAATATAATAAATATAATAAATGTACTTATCTATTATAACTCTGTTTAACAATTATTTGAACTAATTTTTCTGATTAAAGAAAAATAAAAAACTCTGTTGAAGAGTTGAGTAGACTACAGTAGTAGTTTTTTGAGAGGTCAACTAGCTCTGGGGACTCCTCACTCATATTCAGCATGCAAGTCAGAAGCCTAGTCAAGAGAAAAAGGCAGGTGGCACTCTTAGCAAGTATTATAGATTCTAGTGAACTATGACTCTGTCAACAAAGCTCTGTAGACTATAGTTCTAAGAAGATTTTAGCAGTAGTTTTTAAGAAAACAAAGATTAACCTGGGCTGGGGGAATTTGTCCTATATTTGGCATGCAAGCCAGAAGCAAAGCATATAAAGGAGAAAAAAGCAGGTGACATTTTGAGATGTAGCAAATTTTGGTAGAACCAAAGTTCTGTTGATGAAACTGCAAAGTCTTTCTTTAGGATCCAGGGGTATAACAAGTTATATATTTTTTTCAAGCTGCACTTCTTTTAACTAGTTAAGTGGTTCCTTTTTACTCTCTTTCATCCTCCCATCAGTTTTTCAAAAAATTTCAATAAAATGTGGAGATTTGCTTACCTCCTCCAAAAGATTAGCATTGTTTATTTTCCAAATTTGGACAAATTAGCGAAATGCAACCACGTGTTTGTTTATAGACAAATATAATGCTACTTTATAGGACTTAGCCTAGAAACTTTAATTATAAATTAGAATAGACAATAAAGCTATTTGGAGTTGGTGGGAAGATTAGAAAGTAAATTTAATATTAAGATGAAGCTTTATAGTAGAGATATACAAATGTTGTATTTGTTATATAATTTTTATTAGCCATGCACAGGTTATAATAGTGCCTTCAGGGTTTTAGATTTCTTTTCATATTTTTTTTTTTTTTGCAATTATTGTTTCTTTTTTTTTTCTGTTTTTCTTTTTTTGGTTGTTTTTACATATTTTCTTTTAAAAAATTTCTCACTTTTGTCTTATGTTTTTTGAGAAGAAGAAAAAATTAGAAGAAAAAAAGAAATCCTAACACAGTATACAACAACTTGTTAATG